AGAAAACCTGTCCCTACAATAAAAATGCTGTTTGCTTCTTATGTGAAATAGTGGATTAGGTTTTATTCTTTTTACTGATGTTGAGATAATGGTGGATTTGGTTATAGTAGATATGTTCTCTCTCCTCTTTCTGGACTAATGCCACATTGGCCATAACATTCGTTGCTTCACTGCTTCACTGGAACATTTGCTGGAACATTTATTCTCTCTGTGCTCCAAATATGCCTCCGGGATTCAGAATCCTTATACAGAAGGCATGGGTACGGAGTACATTCAAGAAAAGCTTGAAGAATATGAATAATCTGTCTAAAAATCAGAGAGCAAATTTTTAAGATTCTGTGAAATCAATTATTTGAATCAAAATGGGCTCAGTTTGGTCTTCTCCATTCCAAGATAAATAATTACGAAAGCATGTGTTTATTTTTTTTTTAAAAAAAGTCAGATTTTATGACCACAGCTCTTTTCTAGCTAGATGTTATGGATTCCAATACATTCTTTGAACATGGGATCTTTGTCAAGTTGTCTCCTTTGCTTACACAGTTTTGCAATTTGTGTGGTATTACGAGTCAGCTGAGGTGTCTGCATTTCAGTGGTGTTGAAACCCCCTTGAGAATAATGGCATTTTTGAATGGAAAAAATGCTAGGCTTAACTTGGCGTTCTCTGATAAACTGGAAAAGGAAAATATAACTCCCTGGTTTCTTTCTATGCTGCTCCTTGCACACAGAAGGACCCCTTATTCTTTAAAACAACTTGTCATTCCTTCAAGCTCATCTTTTAGATAATCTTGGGTTATAATGATTGCAAAACCTCTTCAGAGTGGTTAGACATCTGGTAAACTAACACAAGTTCATATGTTTATCATATTGACACATGTCTCTTTCTTTTTTTGTGCTGTCTTGTCTGTCTTCATGTGTTCTTAAATTCATACTGCATCATAGAAAAGAGTCTGCTTATGCTTGTGAGGGCTAGTATTAGTGGAGTCCTGGGATATTTCTATAACTAGGATTCCTGGGAACTGCTGAAAATGTCAATGCTAATGTATAGTGCCAGTAAAAAAGAAAGATATAAGATGGTACCAGTTACTTCGCTTGTGCCAGGAATACACAAAGGATACTGAGCAAGTAGCAAGCTGCTACTGCTCGATTTAGAAATCACTAATAGTTTTTCTTGCACTTTATTGCTCACAGGAGAAAAATAGCTGGATTTGAAGAAATAATAGGGTTAGAATTTGATGTATCATATAATTTAAAACTGATCATCTCCAGCTTTTATATGCATACATAATTTCATTTTAACTGTAACTGTTCCCTGGGATGATGATTAAGACATAGGTAGAACTGAAATGGATACAGAATAAGAGGAACATCGTATCACTTTACCATTCGGCATAATATTAATGCAAAATGCTACACAGAAAAGTTATTCTAAATTACTGTGGGCTCCATATTGTAGGACACTATCAGTCTTTTATAATTTTATTTGTTGAAGAAGTCTAGCTTTTAGCATGAAAAGTGAACTCTGTACCAGGTTTGCTTGTATCTTTCTTATTCATTATTATAAACGTCAAATATCTGGAAGACAAAATTAGCTTGTGTCACAGTACTGGCAAACTCATGAGTATATTCAAATACAAGAAATATATTATGGCAGAGTAAGGGTGTTAAGGTGTGACTTTTTTCATAGTCACTTCCCAGTATAATAATGTGTTGTATATTTTGCATACCATTTGTGCTATAAACACCTGGCTAAATAACACTTGATTGGGGTTTAGTAAAGTGGTTAGCAGATTTATCCCCGCTGAATACTTTAGAAGCTAGCCTGCAATCAAAGGTTAGATTTTTTTTCTTTTACTTGCTGAATGTGATATATAAACATAGCTTTTACAAATGTTTGCACATGTCACCAAGACATCTGTATATTATGATTCCCGAATTATTTAACTGCTCTGGTCTTTGATTTTTAGGATGTATTACGGGTAAAATCACAGGCTTGCTAATGAACAAGACTAGCCCACGTTCATTTGAAACAGTTTAATTCTCTCATTAACTGGATTATCAACATGCGTTTCTCAGCCAGACAAGAGAGAGGGATGGCTTTTAAGATGCACAGGCAAATACAGTGTGCTTTAGTCTGACTGACTGCTGTGCCATTGTGAGCAGTGTATTTTATTAATAGAATAATGAACTCTGAAGCTCAACTTTTGAAGACTTTAGTAGACAGATCTCTCAAGCGCTGAAGGATTATTCTTAATTCTGGGTACAGCTTCATTGTAGCTGATCTAAACTTCACAGTGAAATTGAAAGAGATGATCCCACCCTGTCGTTTTCTTTGGCCATGTGTTCCCACTGTCTTCTGTGACTCTTAGTAATCCATCTCAGGAATAATTTCCTTTTGTATTCAATGGAAGCAGCAGGGTTAAGCACTGGGAATGGGGGTGAGAGACAGGATGATGCCTTTTAATATCAAGATGAAGGCCAGTGGGTGAACAAGCAAGACAAGATTCCAAATCAAGTGTATGTAAATGTTATGATCCAGGAACAGACTGGAAGACTGTTAGAAATAAGTACAATTCTTACACTTTTTCGAAATCATCATTACAGAGTCCTTAAACACAGTAATATTCAAGTTTTGTCATGTTGCCCCTGCTTTCTGTACTTCTGTCAGGTGAAAGTCAAGACAAATTAAAATGCAGTAGTGAGAAAGTTCATCTTCTTCTAAAATATTCTGATTAGATAGCTGTTTAGATGGAATAGGATGTTCTACATTTCAAGTCTAGCCTTCAACCACCACAGACAAATATGTAATCTATCCTTTTCAAAAATTTTAAGCTCCGTTTTAAACTGAGGAGGATATTTCTTTCTGCAACTGCCACAATTCAGAAGACTCAGAACATCACTGCTCTAATTTTTACTCTAATATTTGTTCTTCTGATATTTTTATAGATAGCAATGGTATTCCTTGTTACTTGTCATTTTGCTAGGATATAGAAAATACACTTTTTAGTCTCTATGTGATAGGTTTCCCCTACCCTTTTTCCATATTCAACTAATCTTTCTCAAACATGGCTCCTATCAACCATACAGTGTATTCCAGTACAACGTGAGGTTTTACTAGTGTCAAATTCAGAGAAGTTAATGCTTTGTTACCTGCAGAAAAGTTATTTCAGCTAACATAGGTACCTAGGGCAAATATTGCTGCATGATTGGCCTATTCCTATACTCTGCCATGGGTGTTTATTTCTGGTCACTGTCAGTTAGGGGATACTGGGCTAGGCAGACCAATGGTCTGGCCTACCATAGATATTCTTAGTTGCTTAGGAAGTTTACCCATTTTTTTCTCTTCTTCTGCTATTTCTATAAGAAGAATTTTCAGTGTGTAACAGAAATTTTTATTAGTTCCTGCGTAATTGACCTTCTGTCCTATGAAGACGCTTCAGCCTACTTTTATTACCACAGCAAAATCCTCCAGTTCTACCTGTAGGAAATACTAGCCACATTCGGTTTTATAGGGCCTCCCTACTTTATGTCATCAGTAAATTTCTCAAGACTACTTTTTGTGACAAGGTGATCCATGTAACTAAGATCTCCCCCAAGCCTGAAGTTCAGAATTTTCACTAAGAATCTTCCTACAGCCCTATTACTTTCTCTTTAAATCTTGTGTCTAGAAAGTCAATAGAACTGTCTGGTATTTATTTTGATATCTGTTGCAGTTTTCCCTTTGATAAACCGCTACAATTCAACTTGAATTGCATTATTTCCCATGACTAGGTCTTTCTTTTTTTTCCCCAAATTTATTTTACTGTCTTGGATATTAACAAGGCTAGACAGCAGAGCCTTGGCCATTTTTTTTGTTCTTGTTAGATATAGACATAATTGCTATGTGGTACATTATTCCAAACAATTTTTAACAGAGTTTTAAGCAAGACTCTCGTACTGAAAACTTGGAGATAGGCAGTGTCAACATAGTCACTCCAGGGCACCACCCTGTCAGACAGAATATACAAACAAGACTGCTGCCATACTCCAGACACGTTTCTGCAGCACAAAATATGACACCACTACAATAGAAAGGCTCATAAAATTATTGGATAACAGGGACAAAATGGATGTAAGCATGGTATTTCTGCAGTCTGCTTTGGGAAAAAGAATAAACAGTAAAGCTTTGGGGAAACATGATCAGAGAGAAGAGCAACGCAAAGTATTAAGATGGGCCAATGTGATTGCCTAAGACAAGAAGGGATGGCCAAAGAGTAACAGGAAGGGATGGGATCCCTGCTGATACTGCAAGGAGTAATGTGTATAACCTGGCCACGACTATTGCCACCATGACTTGGAAAGGTGCTTTACAGTAGTTCAACATAATGTTTCTCCTGGTTTATTATATAAATAACATGATATTTGAATCAAACTCAGACTGAACCCTTGACTGATTCCTGTCAAGATCTATATATTTTCAGAGTGAGGTTCCCAGCAATTAAAAGCAAGACCTCTGTTTCCTATCATTTAAGACAGAAGCCATTATTTAAATTCTTCAGATTCTAACTCAGCTTTATTTGATCTTATTTAACTCAGAAAAAAATTCACAACAGAACAATCTCTTTGAAAAAAAGCCTTATACTTACCTCCAGTGACAATGACTTTTGCCTTTCCACAGTATGTGAAGGCATTGACCCCTCTAGGTACAGAAAATTCCTTTACAGGTCTGTAATAATTAATAAAGAAGTTAATCAGCTAAGAAACATTAAGAAAATACAGTCTACAGTCATTCCACTTTATTTTTCTGTAGTATATAGAATAGCTGTTTGTATAATGTATACAATCTCTTGTTAAAAGCAAATTGATTGATAACAGTGACTTAGATACTAGCATCAATAAAATGGGAACAGGGTACACTTTCCATTAAAGTAATAAATCTCTGATTTGAACGCCTGAATCCTTTATCAGTCATACTCCAATCAGAATCCTAAAATGGTAGCTGTTGCCAAAGTAAGGCTTCACACATATCTGCATACTGAAAGCAGTTCATCACAGAATCACAGAATAGTTAGGGTTGGAAGGGACCTCTGGAGATCCTCTAGTCCAACCCCCCCTGCCTGAGCAGGGTCACCTACAACAGGTTGCACAGGACGGCGTCCAGGCGGGTTTTGAATGTCTCCAGAGTGGGAGACTCCACCACCTCTCTGGGCAGCCTGTGCCAGTGCTCCACTACCCTCAAAGTAAAGAAATTCCTCCTCATGTTTAGATGGAACTTCCTGTGCTCAAGTTTGTGCCCGTTGCCTCTTGTCCTATCACTGGGCACCACTGAAAAAAGACTGTGCCATCCCCCTGGCACCCTCCCTTTAAGTATTTATAAGCATTGATAAGATCCCCCCTCAATCCTCTTTTCTCTAGACTAAAGAGACCCAAGTCCCTCAGCCACCTGCCTTTGCCTGTTCCAGACAAGGAGGTCTATTGTGGCCTGTATTTTGCATAAAGTGAGTGCAGTTACTTTCCTGCTGCTTATGTATATTGCTTATGTATATTGTATTGTATAATGCATAGTCTGTATTTTATCTATTTTGTGCTGTATAATAACATGAAGAGACTGCAAGTTTCTGAAACTCAACTGAATTATTCTGTTGTGCTTACTGCAAAAGCAAAGGAACTCAAAAAGCAAACACAGACTGAGACTGACTCAGTGTCCCTTCTAAACCCATCCTTTGGGCAACTTCTGCTTGTCTCTTCATGTTTCATACATTGCTACCAATGAGTGAATATTATCTTGATTTTTGGATTCAGCAATAGCATGGCTAACAGCTGTCTCTCCCAGGAAACAATGACTATCAGTGTAATTGAGTTATACAGAATTAAATGAGTACACATTTAATTTTTTTTTTTGTCTTTGAAATCTAGACAAGTAGGTAGTTCACTTATTCTGGGCTATAGAGTAACCACGGATATTGAAAACCGTAACTGCGGTTGACAGGAAATTTGATAAAAGACTCTGGAAACTTTGAGGATTAATGAAAGAGCTTGTTCTTTTTAGGCAAGTGTAAATAAAAGGCTGTTCACTCCCTGTTACTTAGCGGAAGGAAAGCTTTCTTTCCACACCTCTACCAGGGGAGTCTTAATTCTCTTGAGGTTGTAAAATAGCAAGGAATTGATTTAAATGCGTGATTGGCATATTTACTCAGGATTTCTCATCTTTTTCATTTATTTCTTAAATTTAATACATCTATATAACTGTCTATTGGCTCTTTAATGAATGGTCTTGATACTCCTCTAACATCAGTGTGCATAATAGGTTCCAGCAGTGTGAAGTCCTGCCCAAGTCATGGCCTTGCAGCTGAAGCACCCTGTGATCCTATTCACACCTCCCTTTTTTAGATACAAGACAAGATTGTAACTGCTTATCAGCCATTATCCACAAAGAAACTTAAGTCACATAGGAGACAAGATACGTTGCATCCCTCTTCAAGCACAATAACAATTGTGTGCTGCAAAGTTAATTGGGGAAATTTATTTTGTTAGCACCAGTAAATCATATATTTCAACCATAATTACTTATGGAATAGGCATTTCAAAGTGATTTGATCCATAGCTATTTTTAGGGCTATTAATTTTATTTTAACAGCTGTGTAATTTTTCAGTTGTCTAAATATAATTTCATTTAGCTGCTGCATGAAGCTGTTTAGAGAAATTTATTTATTGCAATAGTCTGTGTTAAATGAAAAAGACCTACTAAGACATTTGCAGTTAATGTTCCATATTACAAATAGTGTGTGGTGGTAGCATATACTCTTTTGACTATACTTTTGGCTCTGCAGTCTTAGCTTTCGTTCTCCTCAAATTAATTCCATTTTTCTAAAACACGCAACAAAATCAAACAGGATTTCTCAGCTTTTCTCCTGACACAGTATGTGACCTTGGAAAAGCTATAATTATTTCATGTTTCACTCTCCCTATCCACAATAGACATGCAGTACTTGTAAAACCTAAAGTTATTGGATTGATGCAAGAACTACTACATGAATATTTATGGTCTATGTTATACAACAGATTAAACAGATTATCATAATTGCTGCTACTAGCCTTAAAAATCTATTAATCTCTGGATGTACCTCACAAAGGAGTTGTGAATCTGAGCTAATGTTTACAATGCTTTGAGATATTTGAATAAGAATTTCTATCTATATGTTAGTTATAGTTCCTTTTTACATCAAATTGTGTTTGTATTATTTATTTTTTAATTGGGCTATAAACTCTTCTAAAATCACAGACTAGCAAGTCTTGGAATCAGCCATAGCACTGATGGGCCACATGAATAAGGATATGGCACAAATAAGGAGGCCACAACCTCTTCCCTGCTGCATACAAAATTCATTTCGCAGCCCTCAAAATAAATCACTTCCTTGGTTTAAGCTTGTGTAACTGAAACTTATGAAGTTGAAACTATAAATGAAACATAGGTGAATATAATTATGTGTGGTTATAAATTTTAAATGAACGGATACATGGTATACATGTAACAAAGCAATCAATTTTCTAACTGATTTGTAAAATCTGCCTGCTGAGAAGTTGGAGCAGACAACACTGCCAACATAACTTATATTTAAGGGTTGTGAGTAATGACCATATACGGACAGTCCCCTCCAACATCAAAAGCTAACAAACAAAAATGTTCAAATATTTAAGTAGTTGTATTTTTGTTTGCGTTAACAATGCTTTTCTAGAAAAGAGCTTCAGTACAACAGGATGGCATCTTGCAAGGCACTGATCTCATGCAGGGTTATAAAGCAAAAGGTCTATTATTTCAGAAGATGTCATATACTTACAAGTTGTCCCCTAGTCGCTTTATGTCATCCAAAACAAATGAATGAATGCTGTCTGAGGAGCAGGATCCAAAACAATTTAGGTCAGAAATATACTTAACTTTTACAGTCCAGTCATCATGTAGCTTGCGTTTAACACTAGGGATAGAAATTGAGATATTAGGATATACTAGCATCTACTATAATATGCCTGTGGGTGGACAGAGATTTTGTCAGTGAGATTATACGCAACCAATGCTAACATTTAAATATCCAGGCCAGACACAGAACCACTCTTCCAGCTCAAAAGCAAGCAGAGCTAAAATTAGAGTCAAATCATGCACTTCTGCGTAGCAATTATGCTTCCATCTCATTGGGCACAATAAAGCTGTGCCTATGTCAAACTGGATAACAGCAATGGTGAATTTTTCCCTGGAATTTTACTCTCCAGGTTCTCTGTTTTAAGATCTCCTGTAAGATCTCCTACTGAAAATGATGGCATTTCCTTCACACAACAACAAGCAAATCATACTTACTGCAGTTTGAAAAACTATTTTCTTTGTTAGGTGGGGTTAATTTATACACAAAAGCTAATCCTCCATTTAGGCCAGAGAAAACCCAAATTAAAAAAAAATAATTGCCAGACTGATAATATAAGCAACTTACACGGTGAAAGTTTTGGAGTCCAAGACCTGAAGTTGTGAGTCTTTTTTGCCTTTACATTGTTTCAATCCAAAGTGATCACTCGTCACAGTAAGTAGGTGAACATAACCCTTATCATCTCCCATTAGGATATTATCCTTAGCCAGGTGATCTGGCATAGTCACCGTGCAAACACAGAGCAGACCATTTTCCATTGGTTTGATGATAAAGCAATTATTCTGTGAAATATGGTAGATGATAGTTTATTAGATATTGCGCAGAGCCCTTAAGTTGACTGAACGTATCACACGTATCTACGTACATCAGCATTCAATTCTTGCCTTTGTTTTTTCAAGCCTCCCCTTTGATAGCTGTTTCCTGGTAGTAGAAACTCATGGAAGATGATTACCAAGTGAAGTTAAATGCAAACTTTAAGGATTTAATTGGGGCTTTATTTCATAGGTAGCCTTTTCCATTTCAGTGAGGAAATATTTATTACAAATTTTAGGGAGAATCCCACCATGCTAAGTGGGATGGTATATTTACTAAGACTATATATGGTTTCCTGTTCAAAAATAAGATGCTGTCTAGAAGAAAACGGGGAATAGCTAAATTAAAGAATTATTCAAACCACAAAATGCAGCAGTAACACACAGAGAGAAATTATATCAGAGTCCTAATTATTAATACAGCCTGGGAGTACTGAGTGTACTTAGATGGGCAGGTGTTTGAATTTTCAGGAATTGAGATGGTGGGAATGAATGCAGCTGCAAGCTACTGTGGTATTTTGCTAGACTGGAAGGCCTGGGAATGGGATTTTGGGTCATCTGCATTATACTGTTTATTGGTTCTACGGCCTGACTCCATCTGTTATTTGATTAAAGCATCCTTGCCAACCTAAATTGGCAACTGTTCACGTGTCATAGGAATTAACTGCTTCAATGTTGTCCATGTAGCACAGGAACATTAAAGAGACGTAACAAAGACATAGAACTATCTATATATTATTTCTGTGGTCTCGAGAAAGAACTGCTCCTATTCAGCCACAGGATATTTTCAGCTCTCACTGATGTAATGAGTTTCCTCTCACTGGAGGAAACCTCAAGAATAATGACTGGTGAAAAGATTTTTGAGCCTTCCTTCTCAGGAGTCCAATTGGATTGACAGTAAGACTTCCATTAACCTGTCTGTGCTTGGGGAGCAGCCATTTAATATTGAGAACAAAAAAACCCTAACACTTGATTTTATCCAAAAAATATTTACTTTGCTTCCTCTCACCTTCTCAGCCAACTCAGAATTGCTGAGAAAAGTTCCAGAAACAGGAGGAAAAGCTAAGGTATGGGTCAGAAATCCTTGCAAAAAATGTATTTTGTAATAAAGCATTCAAGAAAGCTTTACGAGTTTGGACATACTCTATCAACATAACAATGCTTTTGTTCTTGGAAAGTCTTGAACAAAATGCAGGATATGAAGGAATATTTTCTTTAAATAAGGAAGTTACCTCAAAGGAGTCTATGTTAAATTTCTTGGAAAACCTGTCCCTGGATTCTTAACAGATTCTGAGATACACATATGCAGATGCACACAGATTAGGTATACATGTGCACATATATGCATTAGATATACATAGAAAATAAATTCTTTGGGGGTTTGTTTGCAACCTAGTACAAAATTTTCCTCTTTCTTCCAAGTTTTTAAGACACTTTAATAATCCCATTGTGTGGAAAGGGTATTCCTTCTTTAGTATAAATTCCACTGTTTCACTGAGTTCCTACAAAGAAAAAAATTAATGCCTTCATCCTGTTAGACAAAAGGAATGTGAATGTATATTGAAAACAAAGAATAATCTTTTTCAGGCTTCCTCTTTACCATTTGCCCAATCCAATATAATACCTGACTCCCTTTTGATTTATAGTCCCAGACGATGACTGTCCTTTCAGTTACAGCCACGACACATTTCAGCTGAGGTAAGAAATCACATCCAGTGATCCAAGCAGTATCCTGATGAAAATAAAAAGGGTAGCTAAAGAAGGATTTTCTCTGTAAATTTATAACCTTTTTAGTTATTTAAGTATGTATTTTAAACCATCTCCACATAAATTCCATATACTCTGCACTACAATTCTTAATCCATTTACCATGCACTCTAGTGTTTTTTTCAGTGATCATATTTTAAAACAGAAAGTCGTATGGTACTAAGCAGAGTTTTACGTGTATTTTATTTATGCCTCTACAATTTTCACTCAGTCACATAATCCCATCAAGAAATGAAATCAGGGTTTCTTAAAGTGAGCTGTTCTCCATAACATCCCCTGAATGATCTGTATTCATAGTTCATGTTCTGTTTATACCATCCTGATGCTGGGAAAGCTCTGATGGCTCCAATCCGCTGGATTTTATTCCTAGAACCACTGTGTTTCACAGCGTTTCTGGCTTAATATCCTCTGGGCCAAGACCTCTGTTGCTGTGGTTGAGTAAGTTGAGTAAGTCTCTGGTCTGAAACACCTTAAGAAAGAGAACACTGAATGGTAGAGGGCAGAGGAACCTAGGGATTACTCTGCAATTTGTTAGCCACCCTCTACACACATTGTTTGTCAATGGATGGTATGTTTGGAGTCTGATGACTTATCTCTAAATTCAGTACCTTACTTCATTTGCACAACGATGCCTACAAATATATAGCTTGATTGATTAGCTAGTCCTAGGACTGATGATAATGTTAGAACAGATGAAAATGGCATAATAATTGGAGTGAGAAAAGAATGGACTGCTATTTCTGCAGATCTGAAAAAGAGAAATGTAAGCCCTGCAAGGCAAAGGCAACTTTTTAGCTACTCAGAAATTAATCATGAGATATTATTCATAGTTGTACATTATAACAATTTGTTGCTGAGGTCTTCAGCTAGTATAGCTCACCACATCTTTAATTAGTAAATGGTGGACGATGATTTACACTCACATAACATATTGGCCTTTGATCCTTAATACATGTTTAGATAAAAGCTATTAAAATCCAAAGCTTCAGTTTTAGCAAGCATTCTTTAAAATAAAAACCCCCAACCCAATTCTAGACATATATCTCTTAAAGTATCCCAAAGTTAATAATTTTAATAGAGTCATACATTTCAACTGCCTGGAAAGTGGAATTTATTCTCTCAAAACAATCCAGAATTTTATTTCATTGTGATTTGGGATAGGGATAAAGAATTTCCATTTTAAGAACAAAATAGGTTAAAATATTATGTTCTGCAAACTTTAAAACCTTTTAACAACCATCAAAAAGTTCAACTTCAAGTCCAGTAATAGCTGTTTTAATTCTATTTTCAGTGCAGGAGTTAGAAAAAGGATAAGAAGAAAGTAAATGCGCTAAGGATGGGGTTGTTCAGTGGAAACACTTAAATAAGAATGTTAAATAGAACTGCATATTCCCTAAGACAAGGCACAGCAGGCAGCAGAAAAACCTGAAAATTTCACAATTCTGATACCAAAAAAAGGTGAATATAACAACAAACCCAAAGTAACATGACATGACCAAATACCATTAAATCTTTCAGACACAGAGCCAGAAGTATTTCATATGGTTGTACACATGGGTTTCTCTTTTCTTTTCATGAACCGTCAGCTCCCCAGTGTCCCTGGGAAGACAAAGGTTTTCCCCTGAAAGTCTTTTACACCCTGTGGTAGATACTGACATGTTCAGCAGTAATGATCCCAACTGATCCTCATCAGCAATGATCCTTCATCCCAAGAGGGAGGAATCTAAACTGTTTCTAACCTACTTCTTCCTTTTCCTAGGGAAGGCTGAAATAAGTGGAAACATCGCAGCTGGGAAAGGATGGGAGAGTGGCACGTGACAACAGAGGGCAGAAGATCTAGGCCACACAGATCTGTTGCAGAGCTGAAGAGAAGTGGGTGCTCACTGATACTAAACAGTGTTATTTGTGCATACTAAACCTGCAAGTTTTGGTATTGTATCTGTTTGGAATCACAATCCTAACAATTATGATATTACACTGTAATACTGAGAGATACCTTTATGTTAAACATATGCTCCTTTCACATTTTTTATGGCAGTTGTGTCCTTCAACGGTGCCTAATTTTGCCATGGCTGCCAAGCATTGTCGTACTGCCACAGCAAAAAGACCTCCACATCCACTGAGGAATCATGCTAAGATTAGGGCTTAGAGCTCAGAGAGAAAGAGGACCCTGCCGCCACATACTGCCCACTGCAGCATCAGGCTGATGCTCCAGCTTCTTCCACTTGGTGTCCCTTTACATATTTGGATTGGGGAAGTTGTTCCTACCATCAAAGCAGGTACAAACTACTAAAATTCAATCCTGTAACACAGCTGTAGGAGAAGCTCTAAGTTGCTTCTAGTCAAAGTTTCCGTAAGTTATACATCCCAAGAATGTTTCTCACAGTTTACTTCTCTGATTGATTCTACAGGCTCGATTAGTCCTTGCAACAAATTAAATGCAATCCAGGCCAAGAGCTGTTTTCTGAGTTGGAGTGGTAC